GGGTACAGACAGACAGAGAGAAGACATGACGCCGTCAGAAGGTATGATCTCAGAGTACTATGGTGCCACACCGAACAGTCACACTCTCACACACACACACACACACACAGCCATGCCCTGCAATGTGTGACAGTGTAAGGAAGACGATGAGGACAGTATCACATTGCACGCTGCATCACGATGGCGACAGGCTGACGGACGAGGACGTGACACAAAATTAAAGTCGTGTGAATTCAAAATTAAGTTCTAGCAGACCTCACAAATGAATGAGATAATTAAGATTATTGGATTTACAAAAGCTTTCCGTAAGTTGGACTTTTAGCAAACTGATTCTGTCACTGTGTTCTACATTTAGGTTTATGTCAAAAATTGTCCAGTAGCCTAAATAAACATGTCATGTGACTCATGGCTAATGCATGTAAAAATGTGTTAAGCAATGTCTGTTTCATCAGTTTGTGTGGTAAAATACAAGTGATAGGAAGAAGCCTCAGTCGATATTCAAATGTGTGTCACAGTGAGCTTGGATCTTATCCCAGCAAGGCAGAGAATGGCCTAGACAGGATGCCAGTCCGTCAAAAGGCACCTGTCAAACTATTTATAAATTTCTAATAATTCTACGTGGACACTAAATAAAACATGATGTCATCTAACATCCTAAAACTTTACTATATTTCCATTGAATGACTAATCAAAGTCAGCAATAACTTTATGCCAAGAGGCCAAGACCAAATATATAAACCAGCAAAGGCAGTGTTTACAAGCCGAAGGTGTCCTGCTCACTAACTCTTTCAGGTGAATGTGGCCTGTCAGTCTTTCAGGTTAACCCTTTATCATCAGCTCATGAGCTACGGAATAAGCCATTGGCTATGTTACTGAAAAAAACAACAACAGTGACCTGGATTGGTTGCTATGGGAGGTCCGACCAGCACGTACCACTCACATGGTGACAGTCAACACCCCCATCAACGCTGGTTCTCAGTGCAATCTCTGAGAACCTGGTGTGTGTGGGGTCTGCCCTACACATTCTCTGTTAGGCTCCGCCCACTGCACAGAGGATGCGAAGGGGGGACGAGGCCCAGGGGCCGAGGTATGAGCGGCTGCCCCCTCGCCAGCTACCCGCCAGTTGGGGTGGAGAGTGGAGGGTGAGGTAGGGGTGGGGGGGTGGAGGAAGATGGGGTCAGGTTGCAGGGGAACTTTCCCAGGGGCGGAGTCTGACGGCATGAGTGGACGTGACTGACGGTCATGCAGCGAGGTGGCGGGCAACGTGGGAGACTCGTAACGAGGTCACCAGACGTACCCTTAGCGGTAGTCCTCACTGGTCACTGATTGTAATTCTGAAAGAATAACCATAATCAATGGAAAAGATCGGGAGGGCACGGGGGTGGGGGGTGGGGTGTGCATCATCACAAGTTAGGGGGGAGCAGACAGCAATGTTGCCTGAACGCTGCACTAACGCAGAGGTGGAAACTCAGCGGGGCACCTTAACGGATCCGAGTGTGTTTTTCCCCGCAAAGCGTCCATTTCCTGACCCAGTGCAGAGTTCAGTGGCGTGTTTATCTGACGTTAGGCGATCCGGTACACATCAGTCCAGCTCACAACCTCCGCAACAGGTTCTCTTACTAATTACCTGTAATCTTACAATCTCACAATCTTCTTTTTATCCCTCCTTCCTCTCTCCCTCTCTCTCTCTGAAGGCTTGGGCAGATGCGATAGACACACAAAGCACAGACAGCTGAAGGGGCAGGTAAAGGCTCAAAGGTGGTAGTTTTGAGGGAGGGATGCAATATGGAACAAAGGGAGAGCTTCTGGTGGGGGGGTGTCACGCCCCAGCATTTCCTGGTGTAATGTAATCTCCTGTCATGGCTTTTAAACAGCTCTGCCCACTAATCTTCCACTGGTAACGTGTACGCTGAAAACACGTGGCGTCCCTGAAACCCTGCCAAGTGTGGGCGTCCCACACTTATGGTACAGAGGTGAAGGAATTTCCCATGAATCCCCTTAATCCCACCCATCTGTTGCTACAGCTTTCTGTTCAGTAGCAGCAGTTCTGAGAAACAGCAGACAGCAGATTTTCTGAAAGTTATCAATCATCCTGCATGATTTCTGTGCAGGCATTTCAGAAATTTAGAAAATAAAAATACTGTGAATTTTTGGTTTAGTAAAGCAGCTGTCAAATGTTCCAAATTTCACCCCAGATATCATTTCACCCAACAAGTGTAATTATAATTTCAGCCAAAGGCAGTGTGTAAGCCTGGGGCGGCCTGACAGGACCTAGAGACTGAAATGAATGTGGGGGGGCGACCAGCTGGGTGTCCGTGATGTCACTGATGTGATGTCAAGAAAGGGCTTCCCTCAGAGAGGAAAGGGGACATCGCTGGCAGAGAGGAGAGAGAGAAGTGGTGGGGCAGAGAGGTGGATGGTGCCAAAACTCTAGGGGTCACAAACATCTAACAAGCCTCCTACTTTAAGGAGCTACACCTCTATCTCTCTTTCTACACCTCCCCCAAATTCCAAGCTGTTGCATTTGAGGTGAAACGGGCAGCAAACCTCCCAACCTGATTCTTAATGGTGGAAAATGCTCCTCTGATTGGGCAGAGACTGCTGTCCAGAATCACCCCCCCCCCCCCCCCCCCCCCCCCCCCCCC